CCCCCCCCCCCCCCCCCCGTCTCTCCACTTGAACAAGTCTCTCTGCACAATAACACCCTTTTCTGGTCCTTCACATAGAGCCTTTTCTTCTCTGCCTTTAGAAGTCAGCAAAGTTACAACATCAGCCGGATGCTGAGGCTCGATCACAAGGGCCCCCTGGTAACAGGCTCTGTTGATCTCCAAAGCACTGAACGACTAAGGTTAGAGCTGGCTGGGGAGCCCATGCCAGCCTTTGCTTCATCTCCTTGGTGCAATCATTTTTGGAATTGTCCTGTTCAAAGTGAGCTGAATCAGAAGCTCTTTGGGTTGAAAAATGTACATTTGGTACCATTTAGGAAAGTCAAGTTAAATACCTATCCAGCTCAAGAAAACAGGGACTTTGTTTTGGTTCCAGAAATTCTTCTTTTTAAAATTTATCTGGATTTGGGACATCAAAGTCACCTGGCTATCTTTCCTGATGAAATCAATGCATTTTTTCTTCTTTTTATTGCCAAGCATACAGATGTGCTTCCATTTCTGAACTAAAGTTGTGCCTTCCCCATTAATGGTGTACACACGTGCACCAAGAAAACACAGCAAAACCACACAGTCTTGGTGCATCACACTGTTCTTTGTCTATGCTGTTCTACCACATGCAGGGGTATCTGTGTGCACCAGCAGAATACTGCATAGGAAGAATCCAAATGTAATCACACAAACGACCATACGGTTGTTTCATTGTGCTGCATAAATGCTTATGTAACAGTAATACGGAGACAAGAATGGTGAGATGAAATGAGCTGAAGGAACAGATAAGTTGGAGCATCTATGCTGTCCACTTGCCAGAACTATTCATTATTTACTTAAAATGTTTCATGTAACTCTTCAGCAACTACCATAGCATAATAAATGCATGAGATTACTGGTATAATAGCTTGCAAGGTTATCTGGGCTTATGCACTCTGAGAAAAAGGACAGGATTCTGGGTAGCACAAGGTTGACCACCTGTGGCCTGATCTTTGTCCCTCTTGGCTTCTGCAAGCAGCTAAAGATGGGTAAGTTGGATTCAGGAGATGGTTAACACCTCTCCGAAGGAGGGGACTGTCCTAGCATGGAGGGCTTTTTCAGGTGTCCCCTCCCCTGGGGTGAAACAAGCCGAAACTAAATCCCAGCAAGACAGCAGCTGTTTGCCCCGAAATCATCTGGTTCTTTGGGGGCTTCCATGCTGGCTCTCAATGGGGAGTGCTTCTCTGAAAGAAGGTCTGTACCTTGGCATTGTCCTGAACTCCAGGCTCAGTCCCTTGACTCTGAACATCCATACTCTGTCACCCTAGGATTTTAATAAGGTCTCCTGTGGTGTCTTGATCCCCCCCAGGAAAGTGAAATCTGTTTCTTTGGCTTGTCCAGTGAAATGTTCTTTTAGCCTGGTCTTCTTCAGGGATTAGTGCCATCCACAGCAGTGTCTTGCTGGATGCCATCCAGTCTTCCACTTCTGGTTTCCCATCCTTAATGAGGTACCCAGAAAATCTGCACAGCTTTCCTTCTCTTGATGTGTTTGGTTGGTTCAGTTTGCTGGGCATTGAGGGCAGCTTTGCCAGGCGCATTCCTCCTTTTTTGTGACAGCGGCACCGCTCTCTATTTTTGTCTTCTCATTCTAGCAACTTTTTTCCTAAGTTCAACCTCCTTTTGCAAGTGTTTCCATTTTATCCTGTTTGTGACGCCAAGTTGTAAATGAAGTACTGTACATTTTATTTGCAAGAAAAGTCATTGCAGGGTTCTTTTTCTTTAAGAACTCTTTTTTTTCCTGAGAAAAACTAAACAGAGGGGAATTTACACGCCTTGTAGGTCTCATATTAGCTGCCTTTGCTTCAGGCAGACCCTTTTTTTTTTCTTTTTTCATGCCATCCTCCTTGATTGCTTCATCTCTATTCCCTCGTGATCAAAACAAACAATCCCATTCAGTTACGAAAGACCCTGCAATCGCCCAGCAACCCTCTTATCCAGGGACCTCTCTGCAGAACCATACACCAATGGGACCTGCACCCCCTTATACTATTTTATCTCCCTCGCCCTGCCAGTCTTCTCTTCTCAAGACTAAACCTTTCCATTTCCTTCCATTTTTCTTCATAGAACTAGTCTCTAATGATCCCTTGATTGTCTGCACTGCCCTTTTCTGGCCCTGGCCCTTTTGATCAGGATGCTCCTGCAAGGGTTGGTGTTCAGAATCAGATTCGGTACCTGAGGTGCAGAAAGACAGTGGAACAATTCGGAAACGATTTCTGTTGACCCCAAGGAATGGGACGCAATGCAGAGTAAACCAGACTTTGTGTAGTGAGGTTGGGGGGGGGGGCAAAGTTTGCATCCTCTTCTTCCTAGTCAGAATGAATCCTTGCTTTGTTGGTACAAGCCTGTTTGCTTTTCCAAACAGCAGCATCTATTGATCCCGGGAAAGGAAGGCAACGGATCTGCAGCTTTGGAATTAAGCCTGAAGGACTCTGATAATCATTCCCTTCATTAATTCATATTATAAAGCTGATCTCCCTTTGTCTCTCTCTCTGTCTCTCTCACACACACACCCCACCAGGACTCCAAATTGCTTTCCAGTAATAACCAGGAGCAGGCGTGGAAGCCATTCCGATCAAATACCATTTTCATGGAAGCAGGGACAGTTGGAAGGCTCCTATAATATTGGGGAAAAGTGATCCTGCTGGATTTTTCCAGAGAGCATTCAGGGAGCTCAAAACTCTTCAGACTTAAGCTGCTATTATGGAAAACAGGCACTTTGAATCATACAGTGTAAGATGTGGAGTGGGACTTCTAAGAGGCCAACCTCATCATTAATGCACAGAATCCAAAGCCAAAATATCTTGGAGCAAAACACAACAAGTTATGGCAAACTCTACACATCGGTGACATCACTGCACAAGCCCCTCTATGTGACACTGCTGCAGGGCGGGACTTGTGTAGCAATGTCACTGGGCATGCTCAGATGCTGCAAAAGCACATCTTCCTTGACAGACCAGCCAGCCCACCCAGCTTGTTTTCTGCCTGTAATTGACAATTACTAGCCGAGTAGAACAACTACAGCCTTCTGTCCTGTTTTTCACTGGCAAAGAATAATGAAAGCACCATTTTAATGTCCTCCCCCCTCCCCAACTTGAATTTTTAATTTTTTTTCTGGGAGTCAAATTATGTCAGTTGACTTCACAACTGTAATATGGATGCCCTGCCATCTTGGTGCTTCAGGCTACCCAACTTTACCCTCAGGAATTGATTCCATAACTCTTACTAGTGAAACACTTACCCATCATTCAACCAAAGTTGAGTCATCAGGATGCTAATGCTTCCCTAACAGAGCTGCTTAGGGCTCTAGTGTAATTCTTTACATTTCAAAAACTTGAAAGTTCTGAAAGTACTTAGTACTGAGCATTAAGCAAATGTGGAGGATATAATTACAAGCAGGTGCAAATGTGATTCAACCCAAGAGTGACTTACCGCTATAGCTTGGAGCCTCTCCTGCTGAATCGTGCTTGTTTCGATGATCCTGAAAGAAAAACAAGAAGCAGATGAGAAATCCACCTATTGAGGCCTGATTCTTCCCACCCCAGCATGTCTTCCAAAGTTCTATCTGCCTACACTTCAAGGTGGGCTGACCTCCAACCTTCTGTGATGAATGCTTCACTCCTGTTTTATAGCATATCTCATATGTGGCACTTGTAGGCACCAATATTCCCTTAAGGTCTGCCATGCTCCATGTCTCACCATATCTTTATCAGGCTCTTTTAATAATAATAAAGAAGTTAAATAGGAAGTTAGCATGCTGGAAAACAGAGCACTAGACTCAAGCATAATCTGTATTCCCAAGAAAGCTTCTGGGCACAGTGTATAACCTGGACACATCTTCAAAAATAAAAATAAGAGGGTCTTCATTTGGAGGTCTGGCCACCAAATAAATAGGGAGTTGTGAGTGGCTACCCCCCCCAGGACAATCAATTTCATAGAATCATAGGGTTGGAAGGGTTCTTGAAGGTCTTCTAGTCCAACCCCAATTCTAGTCCAATTTGTAGGAATGCTCATAAGTCTATGTCTTCAAGTGTGCTCCAAAGCCCCAAAGGTTGTGAGTTGTCGGCATCTGTCCAAATCTCGGGCTCCTGACCTTGACCCAGGATTACTCTGGTCTCCAAAGTAAGTATAGGGTAGCACAGAGTAATAATGTACCCCAATGCAGCCTTATTAAGTCCCCTTAGGATAAGATGAACTTCTCGGTAAATCTACAGAGGCTTATGCAGAAAATGCTTATATGAACCAAGTTAACTATAACATCCTGTTTGGTCCAAAGATCCTTCTTCACCATTCTTTTATAAGTTGACATAACATTTTTACCATTTTGATTGATGCACCCACACAAACATCTGTTGACTGTGGCTTCTTGGGGCTAGTAGCCACATCCTGGGCCTTAAACCAAGCACAAAAAATGTAATTACAAGCATCTGCAGAACTTCTAAGAGACAGCTAGAGTGGAAATCTCTAGGAAAGTCAATGGGTTTGAAAAAGGCTTCATTTGGTACTAAACTTTATTATTTATTTTAGATTTTTTTTATCTGCCTTCCTTATTTTTATAAATAACTCAAGGCAGCAAACATACCTAACACTCCTTCCTACTCTTATTTCCCCCACAACAACAACCCTGGGAGGTGAGTTGGGCTGAGAGAGAGTGACAGGCCCAAATTCACCCAGCTGGCTTTCGTGCCTAAGACGGGACTAGAAGTCACAGTCTTCTGCTTTCTAGCCTGGTGCCTTCACCACTAGACCAAACTGGTTCTCAAAATTGAAAACAAGGATTAATCCTTTTAATTAAAAAGGATTAATATTTTTAACTGATCACCATCTACCCCAACTAATTGGGAAGGTCTTATTTATTTTGCTTTTCATCTACCCAACAGTCACAATTCTCTGGGTGGATAGCAAATCTACTTCTCCAAAATGTTTTAAGATATTTTTTAAAAATCTCTGACAAAAAAGAGAAAAAAGTAAAATAAGGGCAGTTAATAAATAAATAGCCCAGGAAAGACCATAAAATTTATAAAACCCACTATCATTATCCCAATATAACAGTACACAATTAAATCAAATCATCACGTTTTCCATTAAATTTTACCTATGAGATTACATAAAACATAAACTAAATTATCAGTGGTATCCAGTGGAGTCAAAAAAGTCAAGATGGTGGCATGACTGTAGAATCAATGCCCTGCTCCTTTTTGACATGTATTGCATGTGTGATGCGCATTAAAAAGGGGTGAGGTTTCAATCCTGCACTGAAGGCCACAGTTTTTACTTTTTTGATCCCCTTTGGACACCCCTGTAATAGTTTCTCTTGTGTTCATTTTTAAAAAATCCAACCTGTTTATGACGTAGTATGGGAATTTTTATATTTTTTTAATAAAAAATGAACTATTTTAAGTATGGAGAGAACAGTATTGTATTTGCCTGCATTTATCTGTTAAAAAAGGAGAGAGAGAGAAAAAGAACCACAAACATGATTGATTACATGGAGATTTAAACCCAGAGTTTTACAAGTTAAGGATTCAGAGCTTGGATAGACACTTTTGTCAATTTTACATACTAATCCCTATTCACACTGGTCAGCTTCAAGCTTTTTCCATCCTATTTATAAAGAAGTTTATGAAGCTTGGGAAGTTCTTAGTGAAAAAAATGAATCAAACAAAGCAGTTAACTGTGACAATGACTATTCTTCATAGTTTTGCACAGCTAAATTGCCAACCTAGGAAGAAGTCATTTACACACCTAGAAGGTAAACTTCCCTCTCCCTCTCCAGACACACACAAGTTCCCGATGCCCAATTCAAATCCTTCATTTTTGCAGAGGGCAGATCACCCACATGGTGGTAATGAACACTGGGGAACACACACACCTCTTTATCTAAACAGGATCCTGGTGGCTTCCAGATAAAACTTTCTTCAGCACCCAGCCTCATCTGTACAACCTTACAAGTACTCATTTTTAAAGATCCAGACTTTGTCATCTTCCATTTGTGTACCTCCCCCGTTCCCCCATCTTCTCCCATTACTATGTCTGCCAATTATCATTCTGGAGAAAGTTTGGAAAGGAACAAAGACAGAACAGCTGCCCAGTATTTACTGCAAGTAGACAGGGTGGGATAAATCATTTAGTTTTCATCTTAGGGTGGACTTAACTAAATTTTGCATTTCACATCGATAGGCAAACTGAAACTTAGCTGTCCTTGGAAATTCATAGTTCTTCATGCTTGGGCAATACAGTTCACCTATTCTTTAAAGAAA